TTTTTTTTTTTTTTTTTTTTTTGGCATCAAGAATAAAGCAACATGTTAGTTTCTAGTTACGCGACAAGAAAATGATAAAATTCCAACAAAAATATATTCCAATAGAATTATTTCAACGACAATTCCAATGGATATTTCAATGCTATTATTTCCGTTGGACTTTTTTTCATGGATTCCAACGGAAATTCCAACAAAAATATTCCGTTGGATTTTGACAACGGGAATGAAAATAAAAATTCTAACGGAAATTTCAATGGTAAAAGCCATTGAAAATATAGCGTTGGAATCATCAAATTTCATCTAAAATTCTAATGAAAAACACATTCTAACGGATATTTCTGGTGGAATTCCCGTTGGAATCATTCCAACGGAAGTTATACCATTGGAATATCCGTTGGAATTTTTATTGAAATATATTACCATAGAATTTTTCGTTGTAATATAATAATTTTTTTCGTAGTTGATGGGTCTCCTTTCAGATCTGGAGTGGACCGATGGAAAATCGCCCAGATCTGGAATGAACCGATGGGAATGAGCTCAGATCTGACTTGATAGCCTTCGAACCGTCGTTGAACCGCGAGAAAACCTGCAAGAACTCAACGCCGGAGGGGTTTCCGGCGTAGAGCCTCCGACGCTCAAGTCAGTATGTGAGAGAGAAAAAAGGAGAGCTGCTCTGAGAGAGCAGCAACAATAATGGAGGAGAGTATGAATGAATGGGAGTTAGGGTTTTGGGGTTACCTTAGCTCCTTTATACAGAAGTAAAACATTTACCTGAAGTCCCCAAAATGCCCTGGCTGACTTACGAGAAATGTCCAGAATAAAGACAAATATCGACTGAGAACTTCGAAAGACTTTTAGAGGAGTTGAATAAGTGTACTTATAGTGCTCGACGCATAATAAAAGACCGTGAGTTGGTCAATCACGCTCGAATCGTTCTGTATGACGATATCTCTCGGCTCGATGATCCCCGTAAGCTGTTTGATATTTCTCATAATGTCGAGTTTGATTTCTATTTCAGCCTTGTTTGATTATTTTTTTCCATTTCAGTCAAAGCACTCAAGCGCTTCGAGGTAAAGAAGAAACAGCCGACTGGTCAGTTGGCAGACGGATCTGCTCCTCCCCCACCGGGCGGATCCGGGTCGAAGCCGATTTCTGTCGCAAGGCGATCTAAAAACTCGGGGCCCAGTAATCGTAAGAGGCCTCAAGACGAAAGGACCCCTTCTCTCCTTCCCAACGACCTTAAGCGCCGTAAGGTCGACAAGGGCAAGGAGAAGGTTGTTGAAAAAAGCGCTACTTCTGCCATCACTTACAAAGATGTGCTGGTCAAGATGCCGTCTCGACTCTGGAATCACCCAGAGCCGCATAAGGTGGCGAGATATCTCTATTCTTTACTCCCCGAAGCCGACAAGTCCCGTGTCGAGGGGAATGATTATGAGCGTTCTTGCTACGCCACTCAATGCCTTACTCGGGTATGTGTTTTGTACTTGAGTAGCGTTTATGTTTATGTATCCTTGCACTATTTCATCATTTTTTTCTTTGTGTAGTTCTTAGCCGCCATCCTCCCTGGCCTCGAGGCGGGTACCAAAGCCCCTACCTCTTCTACCAAGGCCCTCGAGGACAGATGTGAGGCACAGCTTAGGGAGAT